TGGTGTCGGTGTTGGTGTTGGTGTTGATGTTGGTGTTGTTGGTGTTGTTGTTGGTGGTGTTGTTGTACTTGTTGATGTTGTTGGCGATGTTGTTGTTGTTGTTGCTGCTGTTGCCGGTGTTGGTGTGGTTGTTGTTGGTGGTGGTGGTGGTGTTGTTGTTCATATCGTTGTTTTGTTGTTGTTGTTGTTGTTGGTGGTGGTGGTGGTGGTGGTGGTGGTGGTGGTGTTGTTATTGTTGTTGTTGTTGCTGTTGTTGGTGGTGGTGTTGGTGGTGCTGGTGGTGGTGTTGTTGTTGTTGTTGGTTGTTGGTTGTTGACTGTTGGTTGTTGGTTGTTTGTTGTTGGTTGTTGGTTGTTGTTTGTTGTTTTGTTGGTTGTTGTTTGTTGTCTGTTGTTGTTGTTGTTGTTGTTGTTTGTCGTTGTTTGTTGTTGGTTGTTGTTGTTTCTTGCTGTTCGTTGTTGATTGTTGCTTGTTGGTTGTTGTTGCTTGTTTTATTTTTTTTTGGTTTGTTTGCTGGTTTTTGTTGTTGTTGTTGTTGTTGTTGTTTTGGTTCTGCGCACCATTGTCCTTGTTGTTGTTTTTGCTCGTGTTGGTTGTTGTTGCTGTGGTACTGTAGCTGCTGGGGCTGCTTTTGCTGTTGCTGCTGGGGCTGCTTTTGCTGTTGCTGCTGGTGCCACCCGTGTTGCTGCAAGTTACCGTTGTTATTATGTTAATTGGGTTGTGGTTGTTGTTGTCGTTCTTGTGGTTCTTGCTGTTCGTGTTGCTCTTGTTTGTAGATGGTGGTTGGGTCACGGTTGGGTTCTTGCCGTTGGTGGTGGTGGCGGTGTTGTGATGATGACGACGATGACAATGATGACTTCAAGGAGGATGAAGAAGAACAATAATGACAAAGGGAGCTGCAGCGCAGTAGTTGAGCCGACTTGGGTAGGGCGAACTTCGTCACACACCAAGCCTTCCTGTAAGCAAAAATCGAGGTTTACAAGAGCAAACTCAGCTATATGTGTTAGAGGACAGCCGGGCAACTGTTCGGACTGGCGTCCTGTGCAATGGTTGTACGGGAAGCTTCACCATTCATGTTCGTCAGGTCTGGTCAAAGTGTGGGACGTTGGTTCGGGCAGCAGTTCTGCAATTACGGAGACGCGCCTTGCTGTGGAGAATGCATCCGCGCTGGCATTCTTGGGAGGGCCTGGCTTGCTGATCGCGCACGAGACAGGAGAGATAAACGACAAAACAACACTTAAGTAAGGTAGTTTCAAACACGCTCGCCTGTTCGTTTCGTTTCCGCCTGGTCTTTCACAGAAATCTCAGGCACTCGGTCTGAAGAGTCCGGGGGGCTTGTGCCGCAGGTTTCGCCTTCGTCGACCCGGGCAGTGGCAAGTTGATGCGCCAACAGTACACCAAGGACGTCGTGGCCACTGCCTGTGGGGTGTCTCAGGGGCAAACGGATCAGTCTGACTTCTTCGCTGGAGTTGGCTGCAATCTGGTCCGCTATGAGACCCGCTTCACTGGTGCGGAGGCGAAGGGCCATGCTGTAGGCAGCTCCCATGCATTTGCTGAGAGGGACTTCCAGGGGAGTTTTAATCGAAAGAAGGCCTTTCCGCCGTCATTGGCGGGTGAAACCTTAGACATCTGTTTGTGCACGTTCGCATTTTCGAACGGGAGCGCCCAGGCATGTGGACCCTGCCTGCGAAAGTTACGTCTGTGGATGCTGTGAGCCAGAGTCATGACCTCGGTTCCGTGACTCACATGCTCTGCCACTTATTGTCCACCTTCCTGGCGTATTGGTTTGGGATCTTCCTGGTAAGTGGAATAAGATGCGTATGATGTTTGGGCAGACAAACACGCGCATAAATAACTATTGACACAAACAAATGAATATGTATAGTATAGTATATATTTATTATATATATATACATACATATATTTTCGGGTGTATATATGTATGCATGTATCTATGTATGTATGTAAGTAAGTATGTAATGTAATGTAATGTA